TCGATGCATCGATACAAAACGATTATTATTTACACCCCTACTATGCACAGAAGTTTTGTGGCTCGATTCAGCAAAGTTCAATACTTATGGATAACCAAAAAAAATTCTGAATTAAGTTATTTTAAACAATTAGTGGTTTGTTATGTACAAAAGCAAAGAACCGACATATTAAATTATTATCTTGAAATACTTTGTTAGTATAATGGCAAATCTTTACGTTTTAACCTGTCAGTGAGTTATGGATGTTTTAAAATGTTGGATGAGTGGACAATTGGTCCGAAAGAGGAGTCCAATCGCAGCTCAAGTAGGACATTACAAGGAAAGGAGACTTATGTCTTCTGAAAGCCACCTCTGTTTACACCTCAAAGGAGCTTTTCATTGGACTAACTATGCGGTTTGTTGGCTATATCAGCAGGTTAATAAATAATAAGTACTGTATTATATTAAAATTGGTATTTATTTATTTATTTATTTAAATTTCATTATCATGTTTAATCAGACCTCAAATTTTATATTTAGTTAAGAGTGAGATCATTAATTTTCGGAGGCGTGGATGACTTGACCCTGGAAGACAAATCTTTTTCTCCTGACTTCTATAAGAAAATCAAAGTCAGGATTTTCTCTGACTGACAGCCCTGCAGCCACAGGGCTGTCAGTGGCAGTCTGCAGCACTGGGGCCTCCAGGGCACCGTCCTGTCTCCATTTCTCTTCACCCTACACCTTCACCTTGTGGGCTGTGTGTCTGAGGGGAATGAGCTGGAGTACTGGTCAGTCATCATGGACTTTGTGGACTCTTGTGAGAAAAAACACCTTTGTTTAAACACCAGTTAGACCAAGGCGATGGTGATCGACTTCAGGAGACGACCCTGTGTGAACATTCAGGGGCAGGACATAGAAACTGTGGAGAGTTTCAAATACCTGGGTGTTCATGTCAATAAGAAAGCTGACTGGACACATAACACCATAATAATAATTGGAAATAACTATCCAACATTTTACTTAATTCAGGATTTTTTGGGTTATCCATAAGTACTGAACTTTGCTGAATCGAGCCACAAAACTACTGTAAATAGCAGTTTTAGCTGACGCTATTATAAGTGGCGTAGTAGCACAGGCACACTCAGTAGGGTTAAACAAGCGCACCCTTTCCGAGGCTGTCGTTCTATTGGCTGGAAAGGTTGCTAGACGACGATCCAGCTGCAATCCGTGAGAGAGCAGAAAAAATCTGCAAGCAGAGCCTACGGGTTTGCGAGCGTATTTGAGACTCGAGCAGAGCGCGGTTTGTGCGTGAAGAGAAGGAGGCAAGCGAGAGGAGAAAATATCTGTGCAAGAAGCATTAAATCTGAGAAAAGAAACAAAGATTTGAGAGAGAAGAGAAAATATTTGAGAGAGAGCGCATGTTTTGAGTGTGAGCATTATAAGTTTTGAGTGCAAGAAGATGAAATTCTTTTCTCAAATTGAAATTATGTGCTCTTGCATTATGGCAGGATAATTCTCCCATATAAAATAAACTACACGAGTGTAATGTCTGCATGTCTTCATCCCCACCACTTTTCACGGAAATTTAGACGATTGTGTATCTTGATTTTTTTTTTTTTACCCATCTCCACTGTATTGATCACCCTTGTTGTAATAAAACCGATATAAACGTTTTTTGCTTGTTTTTTTTCAGTCAATAAAAAAAAAAAAAAAAACTAACAATTAGCCTAAATAAAGGATACAGCGCTGGCATGGTTGATACCAACAAACACAGCCACACATCGCATCACACTGGACCACTCCCGCTTGAACTTGTGAGGTTCACCAAGCCTTCGGTCGATGCAGGGGTACAACACCCCAATCATGGCTGTGGAGGACAAAAGAAAAAAGAAAATGCAAAAAAAAGAGCAGTTTGGGTATTTTGATAAGCAGGCAAAACATTGTTTAACCACTGCCGCTTCAGTTATAAGTCAAATATGCACAAATGAAAACACACTGATTGAGCTATATTTATTGTACTTTTTTGTCCTGTGGCTGTAGCAATACAGGTCCTTTTTAAAAATAGCATATTGTGATCAAGTTCATTATTTTCCATAATGTAAAAGTTGAACATTCATATATTTTAGATTCATTGCACACTAACTGACATATTACAGGTCTTTTATTGTCTTAATACAGATGATTTTGGCGTACAGCTCATGAAAACCCCAAATTCCTATCTCACATTAGCATATTTCATCCGACCAATAAAAGAAAAGTTTTCTTAATAAAAAAAAAAAAAAAAAAAGTCAACCTTCAAATTATTATGTACTCCATTTTGCAGAAATTACTGCTTCAATGCGGTGTGGCATGGAGGCAATTAGCCTGTGGCTCTGCTGAAGTGTAATGGAGGCCGTGGATGCTTCGATAGTACTCTTTAGCTCATCCAGAGTGTTGGGTCTTGCGTTTCTCAACTTTCTCTTAACGATATCCCCCAATTGAGCACAGTGATACCATGGGGTCAGTAAACAATTTACCAGTGGTTTTGGCACTGTGATCTTCATCTCCATCTCCATAAAGCTTTTCAGCAGATGGAGGCATGAAATGCTCTAAAATCTCCTGATAGCGAGCTGCATTGACTCTGCCCTTGATAAAACACAGTGGACCAACATCAACAGCTGACATGGCACCCCAGACCATCACTGACTGTGGGTACTTGACACTGGACTTCTGGCATTTCCTTCTCCCCAGTCTTCCCTCAGACTCTGGTACCTTGATTTCCAAATGACATGCAACATTTGCTTTTATCCGAAAGAAGTACTTTGGAACACTGAGCAACAGGCCAGTGCCGCTTCTCTGTAGCCTAGGTCAGGTGCCTCTGCTGCCGTTTCTGGTCCAAAACTGGCTTGACCTGGGGAATGCGGCACCTGTAGCCCATTTCCTGCACACGCCTGTGCACGGTGACTCTGGATGTTTCTACTCCAGATTCAGTCCACTTCTCCCGCAGGTGCCCCAAGGTCTGGAATCAGCCCTTCTCCACAATCTTCCACAGGGTCCAGTCACCTCTTCTCTTTGTGCAGCATTTTCTGCCACACTATTTTCTTCTCGCAGACTTCCCACTGAGGGGCCTTGTTACAGCAGCACTCTGGGAACAACCTATTCCTTCAGAAATATCTTACCCTCTTGTTTGAGGGTGTCAATGTTGGCCTTCTGGACAGCAGTCAGGTCAGCAATCTTACCCATGATTGGGGTTTTGATTGACGAACCAGGCTGGGAGTTTTAAAGGACTCAGGAATCCTTTGCAGGTGTTTAGAGGTAATTTCTTGATTCAGATGATTAGGTGCATAGATCGTTTAGAGACCTTTTTCATGATATGCCAAAATCATCCGTATAAAGAAAATAAAAGACCGGAAATATTTCAGTTAGTGTGCAATAAAGCTAAAATATATGAATGTTCAAGTTTTATCATTACATTATGGAAAATAATGAACTTTATCACAATATGCTAATATTTTGAGAAGGACCTGTTGTTACTAAATCATAAGGATTCCGTTGTGCTTCCAACTCATAATTTTTACACACTTTCACACACCTGAAGCAAACCCACAGCTGGGTGGCACCCACCAGCCCGAGGAGAAGACACTACTGATGACATCTGGGGGGAACAGTGTTACATTTCTCTGCACCTGAAGTAAGTTTAGCACAAGAGCCAGGAAGACACCCACAAAAAACAGCATCCCCCCTCTGATCAAAAGGTTGGTGGTCCTATAAGGGAAAAAACAAAATCACAAAACAAAACGGTCAGACAAATTAGTGCTCATTTGAGTATTGTCACATTACAGAAGACTGCAGCATTAGGACACTATAGACTGAATGAGCAACCCTCAAAAGAAAGCTTAGCCTCTTAGAAATTGGAACATGATAAGCAAAGTAGGTAAAATTAAAGGTCTATATACAGAAGTTAAAAAAACATCCATCTCTGACTAAATTACTGAACATAAGAGCAAACCAGGGACAAGGTTTACCCTTTAGAGAAGATAGAAAAATACATAGTTTTTAATTAGTATATAAACAAATCCATCTCATTTTTTAACCAGGGCTGTTTCTATTGGCTGCTTTGTTAGATTAGCAACCTTTTTTCAAACAGAAGCACTTAGTGCTCCTTTATTTTCTTAAGCACCCTTCAAAGACCAAAACATTTCAAACCTTTCTTTTTTTAAATATTGATGATGAAAACCCCAAATACTGCAGCTGCAGTCCAAGCCAGATGACAGAGTGGAGGACAATGATGGAACAAATGTTAAGGAGGTTAGATGTCCACAAACTGTTTATCTCACTTAAGTTCAGCGTTGTAAATTGATAATTTATTCAATCTTGAAATAAATAGTTTATCAATATTGCAACTATAAACCCATGAATAACATTTACACAAGTATTGATAGGTGTCATTACGCTGCTTTAACAGCTCATGTGAAAGGTCTTTCAGTGAACTATGTTGGCTGTGCAAACAATGTTTCAGCAACACAATCTTGCGGTCAGGTCCATTGAAAAAGACATTGTTCAACAGCTGAGCCATTAAAATGTAATTGACAATTTTTTCAGTCTGAAAACCAGAAGGTACTAGGGCTGATCAATTTTGCCAAAAATCTAAATTTCGAATATTTTCAATCAATATTGCGATTTTAAGCAATAATGCTTTGCACAATGTTAAGTCAATGTTTTACTCCAGGGTTTTAGTTTGGTTTTTTTTACCTTAAAACCTGATTGTCCAGAGTCCAGTGTTGTAGGACTTTACTGTTAAAATTGCACAAACAAATTCTTATTTCTACTACAATGCATTAATATTAATCAAGGTGCTAGCTGCAACTCCGACTTCCTTTCTGTGCGGCAGCATACCGATTTTAATCGTATTACTGCCGCCTAAAGGGCTGGAGGGAGAAATTTTATGTCTTACTGTTGTTAAATGTATTGTGATTAAAAACTGAGTGCCTCTGCGATTTGAAAAATATTTTTTTTAAATTGCGATTATATTGCAAATAGGGGTGGGTATTGGCAAAGAGGTCATGATTCGATTCGAATCATGATTCACATGCCACGATGCATTTCTATCACGATGCATCATGATACTTGAAATATTGTGATGCATTGCGATATTTTCACTGAACACTGTAAGAAAAAGATACAGCCTTTACCAGTGGCTGACTGGCTGGGTATGATCTGGATAGTGTCTTCAATTGATACATAACTGAAAGAAACTGAATTCATACATAGCTGTATTTATTAAAACGACTTTTGGAGGTGTTGCCATGAAAAATACTGGACAGAAATGTTACTATTACTGGCATGGACACACTGACAAAATGATCTTAGGATTCATCAAACTTAAAATAACTAAATAAGGATAATCAGTGCCGTTTACATGGCCTCAGTGGTCCTTTAAACCAATTAAATGAAAACATTCAGATGTATATTTCCCCTTTTGCAAATGATGTGCGTCATATCAATTTCATTTTTACCTTCGTTGTTTTTAAAGCCAAAATGCATCCAAGCATCTGACTTGAAATGTGATGGAACCGCAGGGCAAATTTTCATAGTGTCCTCCATGTTTTATTTCATATGACTCCACGGCCGGAAATGCTTGTGACACAAGGCAGCTGGTGTCAACACATCCGCAGCGACATGATTTGGCTGATGTGCGCCGACCATTAATGTATTTTATTTGTTCTTTTTTTTTATTTTTTAATAATCGATTCTTGCCTTCAAGAATCGATGCAGGAGATCACAAAAATTAGAATCGCGATGCATCGTCATGACAATTATTTTGCACACCCTTAATTGCAAATGCAATTAATTGCCCAACCCTAGAAGGTACCCGTTAATGCTTCTCCCATCTGGCAAGTAATTGAGTAAACTAGGTAGTTTAGGGAACCTGTGATTCCAGAGGGAGAGACGATGATTGTTAAATATTTTTTTCAAGTATATTGTTGAACATAAAAAAGTGATTATCCTTAATGTAGTGCTTAGGATTAAATAAATTCAACTTGTTTCCAAAAAAACATGTTTGTGTCCATCTACCAAAAGCACCATTTTTAATGGTCTGTTAGCCCAGATAGGAATGAGAACATAGCATACACAACATAGCACAAAGACAGTTGTGTTCACATAAGTGTCTTGAAATAGCCTATTTTGTAAATGCATTCAAAAAGGCATTAACACCAGACTGCTTTTAACTAAAGTTAACTCCAAAGGGTGCATTTTGCATGTAAAAGCTATCTTGCACGTCTCTTAAACTAAAATGCTTTTGTGCGTGTTGCACATGCAGTAAAGCATCTTGCCTGGGGTTAAGCCCCTCTAATTGCTGGGTCCTAAAGATACACCTGGCGCTGCCACCAGCCTTAATAATGTTTCAGAATAGCTTAAAATTTAAAGAAATCCTTTGGGACCTTTAGTCTCTTTTCAGAACTAGTAATGAAATGTTTTGCTAGCTTATAATGAATTGTGAAAAATAGTCTCTCAGGCTTACTTGTCTTTGTTTGCTTGAATTTTATGAAGGTCAGAAAAACAGGTGACGAAGGAATGTGATATTGTTTTGAAAATAAGAAACGTTCAACACTGGTTTGTATCATCCATCCATCCATTTTCTGTCACACTTATCCCTGCTGGGGTCTCGAGGGGTGCTGGTGCCCATCTTCAGCTGTATATGGGCGAGTGGCACGGTACAACGTGGACAGGTCGCCAGTCCATCGCAGGGGGGTTTGTATCATATTCCAGCAAATTCACCATGACTGTTTTTTTCCAGAAGGGATATGCATGTGCAGATGTTTTCTTGAGTTTTAAAGTAAAAGTCCAATCATATTCAGAATTCAAACTTCTGAATGTAATTTACCAGAGACATCCACGTTTTTCAAAGAACACTACTGCCACCTACCGGTTTGTGATGTCACAGTGCGGTATCGGCAGTTAAGCAAGTCCCAGTGCTGTATCTGGTATTTTTCACAACGCGCTATTATCCAAGTCATCTTGAAAACATTCTTCTTCCAAATGCTGGCTACAAATTACGTGTTTTTCCCTGGACAGAAGTTCAATGGCAAATCCTCCCTCTTCAAGTTAGTAATCTAACAATGAACCGGTGGAGGATCATGAATCGGCGATGTATTACAGCGTGCAACTGCCATGCACATGGGCATTGTCAGTTTAACTTTAGATCTCGCGAATATCAATGGTGAAGTCCCCTGGAAATCTTAAAAAATTCTTGTTGAGATGTTTCTAGTACATCCTATTGGTTTTGCTTGTAAAGCAGGGAGAATACTATATTTGGGCAAAAATGGCCAGTCCCGCCAGTGATCGCAGCGAAGATTATTGTTTTTTTTTTTGTTTTTTTTTTACTGATTAACGCTAAATTCATTAATTCACCATGAACGTATTTGTTTTAGGTATACAGTAGATAATGAACTATTGGTTATTCCTTCCTGACCGGACTTTTACCTTAAAACCAGATGACTAGATCACATCTCTAAAGTATCATTAGACTAAAGTCTCATTAAGCCGAAGTACTGGCTATGCTTGAGAGGGTGGCTCTTGCTTTTAGGAAATACTAGGATGACACAAATATTAACACTTAAACCTAATATGAGATTTTCTATGCCAATTTCAGTCAAGAAAAAAAAACAAATTTTATAACAGCTATTTTTAAAAACACCTCTGTATTAATACTAGGGCTGGGCGATAAAACAATAACAATATGTATTGTGAAATAACTTTTTCTCGATTGAAGTATGAGACTACAGTGATAGAAACATTTCTTTCATTTTAGGATAGTAGCCAATCCTAATGAAGTAGTGCCATGACGAACCAATAGGAACAGAGCCAGGTCAGGTAAGCTTGACTTGTTTACCTATGGCACAAGAGTATCGTTTGTGTAAACATATGTGGTATGTTTGGGCTGCAGCAGCCAACTCAACAAAAAAAAACAAAAACAAAAAAGAGCATTCCTTCTGGAGAGAAACCAATAGAGAAGAACTTGGGTAACATTATGGAAGAAGAGGAGATTGTTGGAATGAAGGGCTTAAGAAGTTCGACAGTGTGGAGGTTTTTCGCGTATTTAAAATTAGACGTAAAACCGAGTTGTGCAGAGGGCATATTCCGACAAAAGTCTGGAAATACCACCAACATTTTTTACCACCTGAAGCAGTTCCACACTTTAAAGCACGCATAATGTCAGACTTAATCCAGGGTTCATTCTACACCAGAGACAACCAGGGGAAAGCCTGGCCAGCAGCAAAAGTCCATAGGGTCAGACGTCTCTGGTTTTATGCTGTATAACAAAAAAATAAATGAAGAGACACTGCGACATAACCTCTGCCATAGCATTCTGTCTCACTAGAGACATGTTACCAGTTAAAACAGTCGAAAAAATTAGGGATTCAAGCGGCTAATCAACTCCCTGGGCGTAAACATTTCTCTCAGACAGCACTTCCAAAGCTTTATTCAGAGTACAGAGAGATTGTTGAGAATGAGCTGAAAGTGTTTCATACTTTTTCCTTTTTTATTTATGTTGTCTTTGAAGTTGTTTGAATGTGAACCAAGAACTTAAACAAGAAGGTTTTTATTTTTCACCCTGTTGAATTTGTAACACTTTTATTTACTAAATAAAAGAAACTATATGACAGAGTGAGAATCTTTTTTTTACTGGCATTTTTATTTGATAGTGAAGGAATTACTTATATGCCCATTTAGCTTGTTTCCCTGTTATACTTGGAAGTGATTAGATTTACATTTTCCCTTGTTTATTGCCCCATAATAAGAAATGGTAGCATTTTATATTATGTTGTCTTTGAAAACTGCTCTAATGTGCACTGATTTTCTGACTCAAATCACTGCTCTTTTTTTGCTTTGTTCCATTTCTTATTATTAAAAAAAACAATCTATACCAGGACAGAGTCTGAGAATTTTCTTTTTGTTTCTGGTTTATTTATTGAGTTGATTGACTTTGTTTTTTGTATATATGTCCTTTAGTACATCTGTTATATTTAAAAGATTTTTTTTTTTTTTTTTTTTTTTTTTTTTTTTATCAACAATTTGCTTTGGTTTCACATCTCACTAATGAGGTACGGAACATTTAAACTTGACAAATTGTGATTGGTTTTATATCATGATATATATCCATATCGCTTAATTGAAAAACAGTATTGTGATATGTAAAAATACAATATCATCCAGCCCTAATAAATCTTGTGAATAATAATTTCTCTTTGTTTGTTTGAAAAAAATATTTGTATTACTTTATAGAAAAAAAAGGTCAGGATCAAAATTCAATCACAGCTGCAGTCATACTTCATGATTTCTTTAAAAAAAAGTATCTGACACCACTGAATGTTTTGGCATGCCATTTCTAATAACCTTTTCAGAGGCACTGTACTGCAGTCACTGTGAGCCTCCATTGTTATTATCAAAGCTTAATCCAGATGTTTTGAACTTTTCTTTTCTTCTTATAGTAGTAGGAAGCTGAGGAAGACATAAGGAAACCTAAAGCTGGGCATACAGTGTACGATTATTTTAATCGTTGCACACAGCTACAGATCAACTGTATGACAAAACCACAGAGTTTTGTTGTACAGTCTGAGTTCAGAGCTCACGATGTATGGTCTCACACTGTGTGGCCCGACGCTCTGATGCGATCTACCTGCTAAAACTGTCTAAAAGCGACGTCAGACTCAGCTCAGCAGTGAGATGGCGCTACTTGGACTTGTCTATCCGCAAACCAAACAGGTAGAAGAGGAATATGAAGCTTACTAGAGAGAAACGCGCTGCGTTAAGGATTTTTGTGCAATTTTTTCCGCTGAAAGCCCTAAAAAGAAAAGGCGACGACATATTTGGACAAAGACACAAAGACAACAAAGCAAATGTGGCTCCTACAGTCTATTTTGCAGAAAGACCTAAATTTCACAGGCACCCCGGCCATGCTTCTGTGTTTTCTTCTGAGAGGAAGAAGAAGAATCCTTGTTTGTGCATGCCCACTGAGCGATTTGCCCATGACCACCTTATGACGGCCTGTTAAATTTCAAACAGGTTTGATTTTCTCCCAACCTTACAAATCCGGATCGGAAGATGGTCTTGGGAGGCTGATAGGCCCTGGTTACCCCCTGTACACTACATGATGCACAATCAGGCTGAAAGTAGGCCCGATCGAAAAAATCTTGCACAACAGGAGAATCAGCACGAAAAGGGCAAAAAAAATTAAAAAAAATAAAAAATCGTACAGTGTATGGCCGGCTTAAATGTGAGGACAGTGGAATGTTTTGACTTTTCATTACAGTTGGGACAAACTTCAGGCGATTTTTAAATTTTTTTTCACAGCCCTGTAACTCGAGGTTCATATCCAAGAACTAAATTAACATTACACAAATGGCTAATCAAACATCAGGGTAATGCGAGACAGAGGAAAAGCTAACCTGTGGGTGATATAAGACACATATGGTCCCTGCAAACGATGCTGTGCCTCTGCAGATCCTGTCCCCTGCTGCTGGTCACCGGTTAATCCACTGCTGCTCATAATCCTCACTGTTTTGTTCATTCAGAACAGCAAGTATCGTTCTCCACCATGACCAGAAGTCTCATCTGGCATACCGAAGCTAGACAGAGAAAAAACAATAAATAAGAGCCACTCATACAAATGATTTAACAGCAATTCTACTGCATTTTATTTAATAGTTCTACATTTAAAAGTTATTAGGATTAACAATAAATCGACCTAATCGATAGAAAAATAGATAAGCAGAATGAGAGTGCACAAATTAGCACCAGTTCCAGTACACCAAGTAGCTAACTTCCCCAGACATTTGGTCACTTTCACCTTAAATTAATACCTTTATCTACAGAATCTTTCAAAAACATTCCTGGATCCAGATTGTGATCCGGATAATCATCAAAATGTAATCATTTGTTGGCAGTCACAATACGCACCTTCTCTGAAAATAGCTGAAAAATTCCTCAATAACAGACAAACACTAATGAAAACATTACCTCCTTAGTGGAGGTAAAAAGGCAAAGTTCCATACTTCATCACCACCATTTTTTAATATTCAATTTATTTCTTCAATGAATTTTCTCAAAGGAATAAACTGCTTTGTTAGCAGTGGCATATTAACATGTCATTTCTGAAGAAAAAAAATATATGTTTGGTTGAAGACAATGAAGAATGTATAAATCATAGCTCTTTTATAATAAATCGAATTTGATTTTTGCAGAAACAATTGGCATCTGCCAGGCTTCAGCGAATCTCTGCAGCTTCAAATTTATATTAAAAGAAAATTGAGACCAATAACAAACATGTTTAACTGACATTTTTACAAACGGTTACATTTTGAGGAAACAAAGTTAAGGCTGCAGAGTGAAACAGTTGGTCTCAGTGCTGCTTTGCTTTGTAGCTCTGTGGGGTCTTTAAACCCTGGGGCAGTAGTCTCAAAGTCAATATTCAACAGCAAGTGTCCAAAAACTCCTAGAGATACCTCTTCCCCTACGTATACACTCGAGTTATTGTACAACCGCCTCACTAATGTGCAGCTTGGGTGGAGTTAGCCCAAAAATAGTGCACTGCATCCCAATTTAAAAAGATTGTAAGGTTTTTAATTAAAATTAAAAACCTTGTGGAAAGCCTTTCCAGCAGAGTTCAAGGTGTTATGGCTGCAAAGGGTGTACTGTAGCAATGTCTTACTAAACCCCTATGGATTAGGAATGGGATGTCACATAAGCTCATGTGTGTCAAAGCATATAAACAAATACTTTTGGAAATATCGTTTATTTAAAAGGTGCGGGACAATAGCAGTCGAGGGCTAGGGCTTTCAGGACTTTGATCTAAAATTCAGAACTAAACCCAATTTCTACTTTTCATCAAGACTTGAAGAGTAATGTTGAAAATCTCCATTTGGTTGGCCTGAACTTTTGTTTTTGTGTGTGTCAAGACGTGGACTCACATGGAGCCTAGACGGAAATTGATCAGAAGAAACTAATTGCTCTCTTACATCTACCTGTAACACAGCTAGTGATGTTATGAGATGAGCAGTCAAGATGATGGAGTTTGGGGGAGAGTTGCTGTCAGCTGGATAAAGTTTGGATAGATTCTAAGAATAGATTGGTTGTTTTTCCAACCAATCTAGTTGATTAAAACTTTTTTGGTGAGAATAAACAAAGTAATGATCAAAATCTGAGCAGAATCTCTCTCCAGAGGCTGATGGTTCAAGACCTGCCCTTGATTTTTGAACGTTGCGATTATACTTAATTATTTTGGCTAATGAGACTAATTTGTATTGGTTTGCCCTAGTAAAAATATAGATTGGGTAAAAACGCAGCTACACCAGTAGGTGTAACATGTTCACATGGAGCCTCATGAACTGTGGGGATCGTTGAAGCAATTTGGGCAAACGGTTCAATCAGCTTTGAACCACACCTCCACAAAAGCCAATCGGCTTCCAAAGCTCATCTTAAAAGGCCTCCGATCCACAACTTGTCTGCTACCTAGTGCGCAGGCAGTGGTTGCGCTGTCTGACTTTGTTCAGCTTACCCCTGTTTCAACCCACCTACAGCCCCTCCTCCACCATCGTAGCTAAAGCTTCATCAGAGTGTCATTCCTCCCGGACTCTTACTGCATCCCACGTCTCATTTCAACCGGTCCAGCAGAAGACCGCCATGTTGAGCCTGGTTCTGCCAGAGGTTTCTTCCCAACAGGGAGTTTTTCCTCTCCACTGTCTCTCCATGCTTGCTCATCATGAACAGGTTCTCTCAACCTGTGTTATCCAACTGGACTCTCATCTTCCAGGTCCCTGTGTGAAGCTCTAGTATCAGCTCTTGCAGTCCACTGGATCTCCCCATTAAGCTCAGCATACCATCTCGCTAACCAGCAGTCTACAGACTGACCAACTTCATCTATCTCCACTCAATCACTGGTTTCAGACCTGGGGGGAAACCGCTCTATTCTTTGCTCCTGTTCATTGATATCTATCAAAATGAACCGCTATATTGAGGTCTGAGCGCGAAAGACAAAGTAATTATATCAATAAATTTCTTCTAATTCTCTTTTCTCTTCGTGTGAGTTTTTCAGATTGAAATAACAGTAACTTTTTTCCACAGAGTTTCTAACACTGCTGGCTAAAATGCTGAGTGAGCAGAGGCCCCAACTTCAGCTTACATATCAGCCAGCGGTGAATTAGATAAAAAGCCCTGAAAACTGTGACAGGGTAGTACGTTGTGAAACTTTTACTCCAAATTTGTAAGGGAAAAAAAAAACTTAACCAACAACATTTACAAAAAAAAAAAAAACTACAGTGATTTTACAAGGAAAGAAACACTTTCCATCTTTATTTCAGGTACTAAAGAAGCGGTTGTTATCGGTCGTGAGTAAACTCATAAATCCTACCATACTGGTTCTGGTACTTTTTTGGTATGTATGCGTGTGCGCGCGCGTGCATGTCAGCTAGCTGATTCTCAGTCACCAGTCTCAGAAGCTCGTTATGTTCTTTACCATCTCCAAACAACTTAAAAAATGTTGGGTCTCTAAACTAGACAAAGCTAATCACAATGGACGGTTACAACACAGTGGCTACAGATAGCTACTGGACGAGGGTTTGTATAACATCACCCAAACCAGGTCAAGTCAAAGTCCATCCTTACCTTCTTCTGCCGCGGAAGTTCCCGCTGCACATGGCAAAGGGTCTTTACAAAGACTCACTTCAATACTAAGAAACAGACAAGTTTTTAAAGATTTCTTTTTCGCTTCTCAGTGAAGCTACTTCCGGCTGATTAGCATGAACAACAACGACGTAACGACGTTATTCTGGACAGACCAGTGACGTAAATTTAAGTTGACGCTGCTTAAAAAAAAAAAATAATAAAAAATCTAAACGTTAAAAGAAAAATTAGAAGTATTGATATATATTAAAAGAAAATGGCTTTAAAAAGATAGATGCTGTTAATCAATAGCCCTAAAATTGAAATTCAAACGTTTACAGTTAATTAGGTTTTGTAAAAAAAACTAAATAATGTTGCATCATTACAATATTATACATTATCTCCTAAAACTAGCAGAAAGACTAAAAGGATTAAACTACACGTTGATGCTGAAGACAGAATACAATTTTGCACAAAATGAAAATAATGCAAAAGTAGTGATACTTGCCTTAACTTTTTTAACCAGTTTGTATATTTTAATATACAAACTGGTTTAAAAAGTTAAAATATAGACAAGATGTCATAAAGAAATAATAATAATGGATTCATTGAGCATGCATGATATATTCGCTATACTATTATCAAAAGTATTATAAGTTTGAATTGAAAATACAAGTGGCTGAAAATGCCTTTCAACAACAAGGTCATTTTGGCTCAGTTGGGTTCCGCCTAGTTTAGATGGGGAGCTCTATTGTCTGAAGGTGTTTGGAGAAAAGCTTTTCTTTTTATCTTCATCAAAAAGAGTTTTGTTAAATGAGCTTCAGGAATCTGATTAGAATGTTTTCTGTGCTGCACTTTGGGGATATTGGGTAGAGTTCACCTATCTATGGTAGCACAATCTATCCTCAGCTACACGTTCCCAGCCCCATATATGAGTGGATCACTGACTTCATCACAAACAGAAAGCAACAAGTGCGGATCGGCAGCTTAGTTGACCCCATTACTAGCGACACCGGTGTTCCACAAGGTTCTGTCCTCTCCCCCGTTCTCCCTGTACACCAATGACTGCCTTTCCAGCCCCTCATCCATCAAACTGGTCAAGTTTGCAGATGACACCACAGTCCTGGGCCTCATCAAGAACAACGATGTGATGGTATACAAGGACACTGTGTCACAGCTGACAGAGTGGTGTAGACGTAACAACCTGGAGCTCAACGTCAACAAGATGATGGAGATGGTCATAGACTTTCGCAGGCTTCCTCCACCACCCAGTTCTCATCAACAGCTCTGCAGTTCAGGTGGTGAACTCTGTAAAGTTCCTGGGGACTACCATCACCAGCAAACTCAAGCATGAGAGAAACACTCGGCCACGGTCATAAAGCGAGCACATCCGAGGATGTTCTTCCTCAGATTGTTCTACAAAATGAACCTCTATTGCATGGTTCACTTCCACTTTTACAGCGCCACCATTGAGAGAATCCTAACCTCCTCCATCACTGTGTGGCTCCCTGCATCCTCTGCCCACACCAAGAGCAGACTGGAGCGCATCGTGCATGCAGTTCCACCTCACAGGCCTCCAACAGGAGCCTGTGTGTATGTATTCTGCACAATAGAAGATCCCGGCAGAGGACTAGCAGGATAGTGGACGACTCATCTCACCCAGCTCACTCACAATTCACACTCCTCCCATCAAAATGAAGGTTCAGATTCATCAGGACCAGAACCACCAGGCAAATGAACAATTTTTCCACCAGGCCACCACAATCTTAAATAAGGACATTGCCACCCTCCAGACACGCCCACAGTCACTTGTTATTCAAACGGTCCTGTTGCTCTGGGATACCATGTCAAACCATACCATGGCAATTCCTCTGTCACACACTTGTCAGGAGGCCAAGCAGTCTTGGAGATGGGACCGAAACTGGTTGAAAGAAGTACATGCTCTGAAGAGTTTTCAGCTGACAAAACTTTAATTTTTTTCCTGGTGCAGGACATCAACCAAACTACACCAACCAAGAACAATGGCAGACATGTTTCTTACATAGAGGAGGAACTAAATTGGAAGAAACCATTTTTAAAAGGATGTTATCAATTATCCAAAGGTACAGTCCTGTACACATCTGCTTGGAGAGTGAACCAGCAGAGGTGAGTATTTCACAATATTTTAACTCTTTAACTCATGAATGTTCCTTTTATGAAGATTTAAACAAAAACAAAATATTGTAAAGTGAAATCAATTTACCTTTTTACAAAAATTAAAACAAGATGTTGCCTACCAAAGAACCACAACCCAAACAAATCCACTTCACCCAAAACAACAAAAATAAACCAATGTAGAAAACCAAATGCTGTGTTTAGCTGCTACTTTGGCCAATATATAGGTAACAATGGGTTATTGTTCAACCTCGCACCGAGTGACAGTGGAGAATAAGAAAATCCTGTATAACAGGAAGATACCTCCTGCAGAACCAGTCCTGGTTAGTCTCTACTGAAGGCCTGCTGAAACTGGAGTCTAACTGGGGTCTCGAAAAGATAGAAGCAGACAAACAAAAAAAGAACACAATAACACTGATCCATAAATACTTCCTGTGTTAGAAAAGGTTGTGATAAACTAGCTCCATAGAAAAATCTGTTCAGGGTCCCTGAAAGATTTTGGGCTGTCCTTCTAGCATCAGTCCCATAGGACAATCAATTAACCCCGGGAATTAGGAGGATCAAATTAGGCTTGTAGGTTGTGGGGCTTCAGGTTTTTCAATTAGCAGTCAGTGGTCAATGGCCACTTTCAGGTTCCCTGACATTGTCAGGGAATAGTGGGTGATACAATACATCATCCTTCCCTTGCTTTTCTCTAGGGATCTTTTCATTATCAGGCCATTGTCAGCCCTGTCAGTGTAAATGTAAAAGATTGAGTGTGGATTAGATGTAGATGATGATGGAGGGGTGGAGTCAAGCCTAGGTTGTAAATGTCATCCTCACTGGACGATTGCACTTCTTGACTACAGAATAATAGGCGTCATGACCTCTCAGAGGTCTGTACTGACACCAAACCCCTCCCACTATCTTCCATCTGCCAATGCCTAGACAGCCCTGTTGGTGAAGAGACCTTTACTACTTAGGGCAGGGGCACAAAATGAACAGAATAAAATGGCTGCGGATCATTTGTTCCTCCAGATTTTCAGACCGTTTAGAATTTTGAAGCACTAATGAACCATAGCCTAGCAGAAGGTGGAAATATTTGAAGCCTATGAGAGACTACAGGAGGAATTACAGTAAAACAAAATATTTTTCTATATATTTATTTAGGAAATAACTCCAAATTGTAGAAATGTTTGTTGTCAACATAGTTCTTGTTAATGGTACAATGCAAAAAGCTGTACTTATCCTGTACACTCTGTGTGACATTCTGTCTCTGTCTGCACCTGTGCATGACGTGCATCCTCTTCATTGCAGCCTTGTCTCTTCAGTAGCTTGGGGAATAGTCAAGTCATACAGACAAGCTGCCTGAAGACTGAACAGAGATATAAACCTCAGAGCACAGGTAGCTCCCTTGTGCCAGCATACTGATTTACCTCAACAAAAGAACATGCAGGAGGTACAATGTGGCATCACAGGTGTCAAATTAATGGGCCTATATTACAATGGAAAGTTTAAAAAAAAATCACTCATGAGAGCTCACACGTGGGCTTGATGACATTTTGAAATGACAAACATAGACTAACACTCAAGTTCAGCGGGGAAAAATAAGGAATGTGAATTATATGTTTGCTTCACTGTGGGGAAGGGTTAGAAGCTCTCATCAGCAGCCAGTCTAAAACAAAGTCAATATTACTGCACAACTGTTTGGGACTAGGAGGGGAGAATGCAAATGGACCATTGCTGCCAGCAAAAAACCTATGGCAGCATGTGTGTGGCATGCAAAATGATCATGACAAAGGAGGGTACATCCCTTGTGAGTAAGCCTGCAGAACAATGATTACAGACTAGTGAATGTGTCTACTTCCACACAAGAGGCTGCAATTCTAATGCAAATCAAAGCGGCTGCAACATTACATAAAAACATTCCTCCAAGACAGGACAAAATAAGATAAAGTGTACCTGCTAATTTGTAATTACAGTGATTCATCAAGCATGGAAAACCTGGCCCTAGAGCACCATCTGCTGGGCTCAGAGTAATGCAGTGGAACTGTTCACATTTTAAGACATGTATGCTTTTACTGATTTATTTCTATTTATGTTACACTATTGTGTTTCACTTTCTTATAAATGAATGATAGAAAGGGAAAATTATGTACATTTTTAAATACTATATAAAGCAATATATCCAGAGGCAGATATAGTCTCTGTGGGATGTTTTTCTGCCTTTTATTATTAGCCTTATTAAAAACTAAATAACTGAGACCTGCACTTTGCTTAGTTAGCAACATAGTGCAATGACTGAATTACCTTTTTCAGCATACCATCATGTTTCACAAAGCCATTAATTTGATTCAGCTGTGTTGGAGCATCGAAAAACCTGCAGGACAGTACATCTTGAGGACCAGGGTTGGAGACCACTGCGTCTAGATTGATCTTAAGGTGTGTCTTCCTCTTAGGGTAGCCAGAGTCCAACTCTCACATGATGACAGCTGGAAATAAAGAGAAAGTTAGGTCTAGAAAATGTAAAGATCGATTGGCTCCCTGTTTTCATCCATACCTCCAAATTCTATTCCTCCCCCACACATCCCTTCTCTTTTATTTTCATTCCAAGGAAAGATACAAGAAGGAGAGCCAAGGCCCGGTTCTGCTCAGCTGCACACACAGTACAGGTTAATAGAAGGGAGGAGAGGGAGCTCAGGTCCATGCTGATTGGTGAACCACTGATATACAGCTTCTCCACAGTTGAATCTGTCACTGTTAATCAAGAGCCATCTCTTAACAGCCAGCAAGGACTATCAGAGAGGTGAGCCCATGGCTTTTCAGAATGAAACAGATGACAAATCATTTGTACATAATTAGTGCTCAGCAAGGTTACAACTGACACGTATTTTCATCTTAATTAAGAGGGAAATTTGTTCCATTAATTTAATTTGGTGTGCTTCAGTAGCTTTGCACCTAACCAAGTTAATCTTCCACCTGTCAGGGTAGAAATGGACATGGACCTTAGATTACACAATGAAATGGGCTTTTTTTTATTCTTTCCACACACACACACAAACACACACACAGCCCATAACTTGTCTCTCTATCTTTGCTGGGTCTTTCCATTAACTTCCATCTATTTCTACAGCTTAACCATGACCTTTGAATGAATGAGTGATTGAATGAATAGGATTTTTTTTCCAGACAATTTTGATAAACAACAATAGGTTTACCCTAGACCTAAAAATGATGGGTTCATGAACCCTGACCCTAAAATCCTAAACTCAATTCACACCTTAGTCCTAAACATGACCCCTGACAGCAGTGCCCCATGTGGGGTCCAGGCATTGTGCACTACAAGGAAGTCCTCACAATGCTATATTTCTAGAAAATGAACCCCAAAATGTGTGAAATACAGTAACACACACACTCACACACATGTTGTGTCACACTATCCTTGTGGGGACTTACCCTTGACTTCCATTAATTTCTCTCTCATTTCAATGGCCCAACCCAGATTCTTGCCCTAAACATAACAATTACCAAACCCTAAATGTAACCTAAACTGGATTCTTACTGTACCTTAGTTTTGAACCTAACCCCCGCTCCAAGAGAAGACCAGTTGTTGGTCCCCAAAAGTAACTATTACTGGGAAATTCTCCCCACCAGGTAACAAAAACATGGTCACACACACATCACAGCTAGGACATTAGAATAGAAAAGAATAGAATAGAAAATCCCTTTATGGGGAAATTCTGTTGTTACAGCAGCAACAAGATTATAGAAAAAAAAATTGTCACACAAATGTGGACCTTAGAAAAGTGTATATGAATAAAATAATAGTTAAGAGTTAATAAATTAAGTGTTTTAACAATATAAAAACTGCACCTGGAGAATAAATAACAAATATACAGCTTTGGACATTTTTACAGTAATGGGTATTTGAAAATAGCAGCAAAATGACAGATACATGTTATTTAATTGACAAAGATAGAAACTTTGCAAAATCAGCATGAATGTAAAACTTATTGAGGTTGTTGGGAACAGTGATGGTTATAGAGTCTAAACTGCATCCTTAAATCTTTTGTGGCATGTGCAGAAAGGATGCCAGCAGTAATGTACTCAGTGGACAGCATTTTTAGTGCTGAGAGTTGTCACAGAACAGTAGACAAGGAGTCAGTACTAGATAGCTGCTTTCTACAACAGACAGTTTGTTAAAAGAATAAGCAATACGGAGAAATTCTTGTTTTGTCATATTGCCTTGCATAAAACAATTTGAAACCAAACTCAAATGTAGCTTCCATCTTCTTGAATGTCAATGGTTTGATCTTGTTGGAGTCAGGGGAGATCCAAAGACTTGTGCCCTCTAATCCGGCAAAGCTGTATAGAGCTGTAGTAATTGAGTGAAGTGGAGAATGACTTCTTCTGTAACTAGGAGATTTTTAATGGAATTCTCCATTGGCTCCTGGGCATTCGGGTAGACAATCATCACATGAACTGAAGCATAGTCTATTATTGCATCCTGCACACCTTAACAGAGTGTCTATCAGGTGCCAATGTATGCACTCTCACCCATGTGTGAAGCTGTATTTCAAGTGTAATGGCTTTTCTTTTCAACACTCCTGTATGGTCTGAAAAGTAGCTGTGAGATAAAACCATGTAATAGAAAGGGAAAAAAAGTCTAACACTAAATCCTAAAATGTCGCTACAAGATGCTTCAGCAGTGAGCCATCTCTCCATTCACAGCACCAGCAACATTCAAACTTAGATCCAAATTATTCATACCCCTGTCAGATTCAGGTTTTGAGTTTATTCTTACTGATGGTAATGTGATTTTGGTTTGGCCCAACTATAGTCTTGACCTGAAACTGTCAAGAAAAACTGCGAAGAGGCTAAAATCCGAGAGATGCCTATAAATTACCAGAATAAATAATCAAAATATCATTGGTGATGTGCAAAAAAGCTAGTGAGTATTTATAGGGAAGGTATAAATAAAGTAATGCCTACAGAGAACTGTTTTTTTAGTATATATATAGATATATATATCTATATATATATCTATATATATATAGATATATATATAGATATATATATGTATATATATAAAAGTAAATATAGATAGCTCAATATTCGTTTTTACTTTATGTACCCTTTAAAGGGTGCCTGCCTCCCTTGGTAAACCAATTTTTTGGTTTCATGAAAATTAAATGTGCAAGGGGTATGGATAATTCTTGACTTGGGGACAGCATGTAGGTTATTGCTTGAGTTCAACACACTGATATTAGAAAAGCTTTGCAAAGGAGGACAATGTCTCTGGGCAAAAGCATAACTTTGCTGTAGGTTTCATGTTCCACCTGCTACAAAGCTTTATTTATAGTGCAACATTT